TGGCCGTGAGACTGACTCTGACCAGTGAAATATAAGGAGGAGTGTCAAGGGCATTGATGATCTAGTATGCGGTGCTCCATCTTCTCCCTTTCTTTGGCAGTGGTGACTGACTTTCTAGATGATAAAGCCAGTTTTTTTGGGGATGAGGAGGATGAAGATATGGGCCTGTCCCATGAGAGATAAACTTCTGTTGCTCTAACATCTGGGGGTTGTTAGGTAGAGCAGCAGCGTCTTGCTTATCCTGAATAATACCAGCAGCTCCAAGCTCGACATGTCAGGCTTTGGATCCACATCTCAGTGATTCTTCTGCTCCTGGCAAGCTTCATCAAGTGGTGGAGTTCTAAGGACTTTTCTCAGAGTATGAAAAATACAAAACTAATATTTTGCCCAATTCTGATTTGCAATATCAAATTACACTGGGAATATAAAAAAAAGTTTCTATAGAGAGGTTACTTTGTGCTTTTTAAAAAAACTTATGCTGTATCTAGGACAGCAACAGAAGGATTTAATAAATGATTGTGGGGTGTCCTTGCATACAAAGTCCTCCGAACATTAGTTAAATAGATAAACAAGCTAGTTAGCTAACTAACTAACTGCCAGGTGTTAAATTATTAGCACTATACTTATACAGTTTCATTGTTTGGGTTGTCTGAGATTTCACTTACCCATGGTGGACTGTGTTCTGAAAATATCAAATGGAAAATTCTAGAAATAATTCATAAGTTTTAAATTGAGAGAGAAAGACCACATTCACATAAATTTTATTACAATTTTTCTATTTTATTTTTAGTTATTGTTGTTAATTACTAACTGTGCCTAATTTATAAATTAAATTTTATCATAGGTCTATGTTAAGGGAAAAATAGTCTGGACGTAGGGTTCAATACCATCTGCAGTTTCAGGCTTCCCGTGGGGTTCTTTGAACATATCCCCTGAAGAGAAGGAGGGGGCTACTGTAATTCATTTCTCTTAAGACATTTTATTTTTCTACTTATTTGGGAATTTATGTACCCCATGACTTCAAAAGTCATGAAGTAGTTCTGTGTGTTAGCTTTCTTTGGCTTAGAAATCAAATGGATTTGAAAGCCATGAAAAAACTGCTTGGATAGTCAAATGCTAAGGACATCTACTAGGTTCCTTTGAATTTCTTTTAGGGCATTTACTGCTTGCTTCTTACTGCACGTGACACATGATAATTCATTGTACAATATTTTAATCATTTTTATAGCCTTTCCCACTGTTGTTTCTCTTACACTGCAAAACTGAACAAGATAGCAAAAGCTGAAGAGAAACGTTGGCAGTTGATTGCCTTCTGGATATGATGCAATCACTGCCATCAGCAGGCGGCACACTCGATGATGCCGTGAAGGTTCTCAGGTCAGCTGTGCGCTTGGAAACTGGGGCAAAGTCAAAGCCCTTTGCCTGCTGACTAAGACACATGGCTGCATGTTAAGGAAAAAACTGCCCAAGTTACACAAGGAAGCATCATTTTCAAAGTCACTTTGATGACAATAGAAGTAAAAACAGGGATGATTGGAATTTGGTATGAAGAAAACCCTACCATCTAACATAGCACTCTCCAACAGAAATACAATATGCACCAAAGATATAATGTAACATTTTCTAGTAGTCACATTCAAGAAAAGTGAAACAAAGCAGGTGGAATTATAATATTAAAATTATGTTTTACTTAACCCAACATTATCATTTCAGCATGTAATCATTATGAAAATTTGTTAATGAGATATTTTTGCATACTCAGTCTTTGAAATCCAGTGTGTCCAGCACATGTATTAATTTGGTCTAGCAACAATTCAAGCTCTCTATAGCCACATGTGGCCAGTGACTTCTAGAGTGGACAACTACCTTAGAGGAATTAGAGGGTTAAATGACACTCTCCAGTATACACCATAGTCAGCAGGAAGCATGACCAGTTACTAATGTCAAACCCTTGTTGCATGGGGTAAATCCAAGTTAGTTTTTCCTTGTTCCTAATATGTGCAACTTTGTCTGGGAATGAGATTGACCTGTAATTATCATCTCTCATGCAGTTATTTCAGGTTTAGGAACCAATGTCATAGACAGAGGCTTCATAGAGGGCTTCGTAGAATGGACTGGGATACTTTATAGAATTCTTTTTTTTTTCTTTGACTCCTTGAAAGAATTTATGTAAATTTGGTACACACTGTGTTTTGAAAGTTTAGCAAAATTTAACTGTGAAACCTTCAGGTCTTGGTATTTTCTTTGTGGAAAGACACTTATTTTCTAACTAAATTTATGTAAGGTTATAGGAGTTTCTTTTTGGTCTGCTGGTATGTTACATTTATTTCTAGAAATTTGTTCACTTGTTCTATGTCTTGCTAACCATCTTATGTTCACAGATAGTGGATCTACCTGACACTTTCCTAATATAATTGCAAAAGTCCTAATTTTTCCCTTATTTTACAGGTAACATCTGTTCACATTCTGGTCAGATGACAGTATGTCAACTTGTTGATTCAAGTGTAGTTCAGCCAAGTGTCCTCTCAACTAATTTTTCGAGAGTTTTTTCTTGTCTCCTCAAAGCCTGTTGATTGCCTTAGGTTATTTGTTTGTTTGTTTTTCTGGCTGAGCTGTGAGGCTTGCAGGGTCATATTTCCCCAATCAGAGATTAAACTTTGGGCCTCAACAGTGAAAGAGTCCTCACCACTGGACTACCAGAGAATTCCCTGATTGCCTTAGACTTCTGTTGTCGTTGTTTATTTTTTAATTGAAGGATAATTGCTTTACAGAATTTTGTTGTTTTCTGTCAAATCTCAACATGAGTCAGCCATAGGTATACATATATCCACTTCCTTTCGAACCTCCCTCCCATCTCCCTCCCCATCCCACCCCTCTAGGTAGATGCAGAGCCCCTGTTTGAGTTTCCTGAGCCACACAGCAAATTCCCATTGGCTATCTATTTTACACATGGTGATGTAAGTTTCCATGTTACTCTTTCCATACATCTCACCCTCTCCTCCCCTCTCCCCATGTCCCTAAGTCTATTCTCTATGTCTGTTTCTCCATTGCTGCCCTGTAAATAAATTCTTCAGTACCATTCTTCTAGATTCTGTATGTATGTGTTAGAATATGATATTTCTCTTTCTCTTTCTGACTTATTTCACTCTGTATAATAGGTTCTAGTTTCATCCACCTCATTTGAACTGACTCAAATGCATTCCTTTTTATGACTGTGTAGTATTCCATTTTATATATGTACCACAACTTCTTGATCCATTCATCTCTCAGTGGACATCTAGGTTGCTTCCATGTTCTAGCTATTGTAAATAGTGCTGCAATGAACAATGGGATACATGTGCCTTTTTCAGTTTTGGTTTCCTCAGGGTGTATGCCTAGGAGTGGGATTGCTGGATCATATGGTGGTTTTATTCCTAGCTTTTTAAGGAATCTCCATACCATCTTCCATAGTGGCTGTATCAATTTACATTCCCACCAACAGTGCAAGAGTGTTCCCTTTTCTCCACATCCTCTCCAGCACTTATTGTTTGTAGATTTTTTGATGCTGGCCATTCTGATTGGTGTGAGGTGATACCTCATTGTAGTTTTGATTTTCATTTTTCTAATAATGAGCCATGTTGAGTATCTTCTCATGTGTCTTTTAGCCATCTGTCTGTCTTTGGAGAAATCTCTGTTTAGTTCTTTTCCCCACTTTTTGGTTGGGTTATTTGTTTTTCTGGCATTGAGTTGTATGAGCTGCTTAGATATTTTGGAGATTAATCCTTTGTCAGTTGTTTCATTTGCAATTATTTTCTCCCATTCTGAGGGCTGCCTTTTCACCTTGCCTATAGTTTCCTGTGCTGTGCAAAAGCTTTAAGTTTAATCAGGCCCCAGTTGTTTACTTTGTTTCTATTTCCCTTACTCTAGGAGGTGGGTCACAGGGGATCTTTTTGAGTTATGTCATTGAGTGTTCTGCCTATGTTTTCCTCTAAGAGTTTTATAGTTTCTGATCTTACATTTAGGGTTTTATCAATTTTGAGTTTATCTTTATTTATGGTGTTAGGAAGTGTTCTAATTTCATTCTTTTACATGTAGCTGTCCAGTTTACCTAGCACCATTTATTGAAGAGTCAGTTTTTGCCCCATTGTATATTCTTGCCTCCTTTGTCAAAAATAAGGTACCCATAAGTGTGTGAGTTTATTTCTGGGCTTTCTATCTTGTTCCATTGATCTATATTTCTGTTTTTGTGCCAGTACCACACTGTCTTGATAACTGTAAAATAAGCAAAATCCAAACAGTCCAATAAAGTACAGTAGATTGACCCAGCAAACAAAGGAAATCAAAAATTATATCTACCAGTTAAGAACAACACTAACTAAAGCACAAACTGGAAAACAAAACTAAAGCAAGGTGCCAAGTGGGGAATAAAGCAAAGAAAACAAAACTAACAAATATGTTGAGAGGAAAGGAAAGGAAGAATAGATATGCAAAGTTAAATAAAAGTAGATGAAGAAGATTTATATAAAGATTAATTGCAAAGGGGAAAAGAACAGTAGGAAAAGCAAACAAAGGAATAAATGCAGAAAAAATAATAATGGGCTTAAAAAATTAAAAATTAAAATTAAAAAAAGAGAGAGAGAAGAAAAGGAAAACTCCATAGAACTACAAAAGCCCAATATAGAGGTTTATAACAACAATAAAAAATGTGACTGAGAAAAACAAAACAAAACTCAAGAGCTTAATTAGATTTCATAGTGACAATAACATCGACATTACAACAGAGCATGGGGCAAAGGGGAAAAAAGAAAAAAGTAAAAAAAATCCAAAAGAGTCTACAGAACAGGTCAAAACATAAGAATAATAAATGCTTTTCTTGAGTCACTGCTGTCAGAGTGCTTTCCCTCGCTGGGAGTCACGGTCCACCTCACCCTCCTGGGAAGCCTTCCAGCTCTGTGCGGGTCTCTGGCCCTGCTGCGGGGGCAGCTCAGAGTCTAATCTGTCCTACTCCTGCCTGTCCTTACCTCCAGTGTCCACCGCTGTCAGAACTAGTCCGTTTTCTTTTGTGGGAGCTCTCGATGGCCTTTTATATATTCCACAGACACAGCGTCTGCCTAGTTGATCCTGCGGTTTTAATCTGCAGCTTGTACAGCCAGTGGGAAGGCTTTGGGTCTTCTTCCTTAGTCACACTGCCCCTGGGTTTCAACTGTGGTTTTATTTTCACCTCTAGATATGGGTCGTCCACTGGGGTTTGCCCCTGAGGCTGCCCTGGAGGACTTGGGTCTGCCCCTGTGAGGCCAGGTGCGGAGGTGGTGCCGCTGCTTGAGTTGCATGGGTTCTGGCAGCACCAGGTCCTCAGGGGAGCTGGCGGTTAGGGAAGCAGGAAATGTAGTCCTCTAGAATTGTATGGCAACCAGTATTGGCCAACACACTCCAGTATTCTTACCTGGAGAACCCCCCTGACAGAGAAGCCTGGCAGGTCACCGTCCACAGGGTTGCAAGGAGCTGGACACGACCGAAGTAACCCTGCGTGCATAGACGCAGAAGATTTTTGGCCTGTGGCCGCTCTGGCCTGGTGAGGGTTGAGGGTGAAGGTGGCGCAGGTGCTTGGCCTGTGGGGACCCTGGCGGCGCCCCGTGTGCAGGGACATGGACTGTCTCCACCGCAGGAGGTATGGCCCGATCAGAGTCTTTTTTTCAAGCCTCTTGTAGCTGGTGATCAGAAGGCCTCTTTGGCCAGTGTTTTTTCTGTAGCTCTTCCTGTTCAGGCACTTAGCGGGCGCCCTTGCCTGGGGTCCTTCTCTGTTGCGCCAGGCATCAGGCACTTACAGGGGCACCCTGGCTGGGGTCCTGCTCTGCAGTTTGGCACATTAGTCACTGAACGTCAGGCGTTTGATGGGCCAGCCTCTGTTGTTCAGCTGCGGATGCTGGCCTGTGGGGGGAGAGAGGCTATGGTGACGGCTCCACCCCCTACGCATGACTCAGCAGCATTGCCTTGCTCTCATGGCTGCTTTGCTTTCCTCCACAGGCATTTTCCACCACAGTCTCCTCCCTCACTTCCCCTCAGTCTGTCTCTCCACAGTCAGCAGCAGCCCTCGCCCTGGGATTGCCCCACAGTCCCTAAACTCCAGCTCCCAGCTGCTGCGCCTTCTGGGGAACCTGCCTCCCTGTCCGGGGTGTGTATGGCTGTGGCAAGGACTGTCTGATTCTCATCCCATTTAGGCTGCCGCAGGTCCGCTGTTTCACTCTCAGCCTTAAATGTTCCTCCTCTGACTCAGACAATTGCCCGGATGTGAGGATTGGACCCCTGCTTCAGTTCCCCCGCCTACCAAATGCAGGTCCATCCTAGAAACATTCCTGTTTTTCCCCTAGTTCCTTTGTCCTACCGAGTTTTGCGTGGCTCTGCATGTTCTCCGCTGGTCAGGCCCTCCTATCTGCTCTCAGCTGCTGTTCTGCATCCACTTCCGGGTCTGAAGGTGTGTTTCCGATGTGTCCGTGGAGAGAGATGTACTGCACGTCACCTACTCCTCTGCCATCTTGTTCCGCCTGCCTTAGATTTTTTTTTGCCCTTAGATTTTTAATGAGAATATATGGGGTACCTTTTAGCCACTCCACTGATCCAATGTACCCAAATATATAGAGAATATAATTGACAACTGCATGATTTAGTATCACAATATACCCACTGTATTTGTTTTGAATTTGGATTATATGGCATGGTACTACAACTCCAAATAGGCATTTAAAAAGGAAGAATACAAACGATAACAAAACCTTCATTAAAAACCTTTTTATCTCTTTTTAATATTTTGCCTTCTAAAATTTAAATGCACAGGAATAAATGACATTCTTATTACATGTTAAACTTCTGGATAATCTAGATATCCATGTAAAAGGGTGTATAGGAAATGAATAGCTTTTAAATCTGTCAAGAGAACAGATTATAACTCCATAGTTGGTAATTAACTATTTGATTTATTCACAGCATTTGTTAGTCAAGGCCAAACATAATGCTACATATGAGGGCATTACTGAGTATGTAACAACAGCTCATAATTCAAGGCTTCATGGAGTGTTAAACTGCCACCTGAAACATGGAACATATGATATTTTGAAAATATTTTGCAGGAGGAAGCTGTTTGTTTAGATTCTGAGGTAGATGAACGTATTAACTGGTTCCAGCAAGAATATGTGAAAACAGAAAAGGACTGGAGAGAAATTGATAAGAGGATGAGCCAGACTTTGGAAATAAGAAGAAAGTTGATTGCCGGCAGAACACCTCTGAAGGACATTCTTAAAATGTTTCCTTTCCTGCAGTGCCCTTATCAGGTATCTTTATTTACCTATAATACTCTGATTATTGTGTTCAAATGGACCTTTCTCTCTTTTCTCTTGGAGCAGTAACAGGACTGTATAGCAAGATGATGGGTGTGAATCTCAGTAGAATGTGTGGGGTCCAAGGGGCTACAGTGAGGAGCACTTGGTAAGAACTTCTGGACTCATTCTGATAACACGCCCTGGCTGTCATCAGATCTGAAGAGTCCCCAGTGGTGTCCCAAGGCACCACCCCCTGCTTCGGGGGACTGTGACAGTGGGAAACATTTTCCCTTTGCATGCATTTAGAAAATCGAGATAGCTTATTAGGGTGCTGTTAGCCTGCAGCATTACTCACAACCTATTTCCTTTATCGTCCCAAATTACTCCATAAAGTGAAAGTGAAAATCATTCAGTCGTGTCCGACTCTTTGCAATCCCATGGACTGTAGCCTGCCAGGTTCCTCTGTCCATGAAATTCTCCAGGCAAGAATACTGGAGTGGGTAGCCATTCCCTTCTCCAGGGGGTCTTCCCAATCCAGAGATTGAACCCAGTTCTCCCACATTGCAGATAGATTCTTTAAGTGGTCTTAAAATATGTGAAGTTTTTATGGGTAAATCAAACATCCTTCCATTTAGTTTATTTAAGATGGCCATTAAATATTATAATTTTACTGTAATTTTGGCTGAAAGATTCATCAGAGTTTTATCTGAGAATGCATTTCATGAAGGAATGCTATGGGTGCAAGAAACCAAATGAAATGAAAAGTTTTACAGGCTTTTCTTCTCCCCCCCCCAAAAAAAAAACTGAAATAAGAATTTGTCTGCATTTTTTATTTTAATAATAATGTCTATAGAGAACATCTGAATGTTTGTTACATAGCAGTCATATTCTTAGTGCTTTACATGAATTATTTTAGTTAATTCATTTTCAGCAACCCTACCCTATTTATCGCTTGGATTCTCTTTCAGTTGCTAGGAACAGCCTCTGTTAGAAGAGTACGACAGATTGACACATGTATAAAATATACTTTTAAAGCAAAAATTGTTAAACCAATAGTCTAAAATGTTAGAAAGTGAAAAAGTGAAAGTCGCTCAGTCGTGTCTGACTCTTCGTGATCTCATGGACTATACAGACCATGGAATTCTCCAGGCCAAAATACTGGAGTGGATAGCCTTTCCCTTCTCCAGGGGATCTTTCCAACCCAGGGATTGAACCCAGGTCTCCCAGGTCTCCCGCATTGCAGATAGATTCTTTGCCAGCTGAGCCACAAGGGAAGCCCAAGAATGGGTAGCCTATCCCTTCTCTGGCAGATCTTTCTGACCCAGGAATCAAACTGGGGTCTCCTGCTTTGCAGGCGGATTCTTTACCAACTAAGCTAAGCATGTTCTAAACATTGTGGTAGTTCCCAAAGTACCTAGCAGAGTACTGTGTGTGAAATACAAGTGAAATACTGATCTTTTTAAATGCTAAATGAGTCAGTAGATGGTTGATTCAGGCAAGAATCATTGGTGAATGCTAAATCTTGCAGATGAAAATTATAGTAGGAACAAGATATTTACATCAGCTCAAGGGATTGCCCCATAAAATACATACAGCTATATTTTAATTAATAATTATTACATATATATGAATTAACCTGTAAGATTCCATTTTAACCAAGAGATCAGTTACTAACTTCAGTAATGGGACCAACGACCATCCTCCTGATGAAGTGGCAGCATTCTTGGTAAAAATTCTGTAAATCATGAAGAAACATCACATGAATCTGGAATGAGGGGGTGTTCCCCCAAGTAATTGGCTTCTGCTTTTACAATATGTTAAGGAATTTAAAGAAAACAGAGATGCTGTTTCAGACTGAAAGAGACCAAGAAACATCTAAATCTCACGTGTTCCTGGATTAGATCTGAGATTTGTAAAGAGCATGATTGCAACAACTGGAAAGCTTAAACAGGGTCTGTGGATTAGGTTTTCCTGATTTTTAATGGTTATGTGGTGCTTATGTAGGATAGTGTCCTGATAATTCTTAAGTACAAGGAATAATAATATGCAATGAAGAATTAAGGGTTAAGAGGGCCTCCTGTCTACAGCTTACTTTCAAATCAGTCAGAAATGTTAGCCTTGGGCGAAGTTGCATGAAGGCCATTTGTGACCTCTATTTACTCTTTCTGCAACTTTAATGTCAACCTGAAATTCTTTTTTTAAAAAAAAAGTTAAAGAAATTCCTAGGTTCTGCACCCAAGAAAGTGGACTCTCTAGCTTCCTTGTGTTTCACTTCACATCTCCCTGCTCCCTGAGAGAGTTTCTTTTTAGGGTATTAATACAGATTAGTGCCCACTGAGGGTTGCCTGATGGCAGAGTTGCTATGCCTATATGAGGATGTGCATTCCAGTTTTCTGATAACTTTCAGACCTAATCTTTGGGCAATTTATGATCCACGAAAACATTCAAGAAGCAATGAGACCAAGTGGGTAGTACATAACTGTTTTTTATAGAGTTTTAGGGAAAGTGATGACTACATAATTCCTTTTAGTGTGGGTGATGAAGAGTTTTATAATGTCACTCTGTCAAAAAAAAAAAAAAATTGTGAGGGAGTGGTGGTAGAATTCTCCTAAGAGAAGAACTTAGGCAGGAGCAGGAAAAAGTGATTCTGAGTAAAGGGGTTTCCATACAGGTTAACTGGTTTTGCTTTCATCTCATAGTTGAATCTCGTACATTTAGATTGTTTTTCATCCTTTATTTCTGTCTGATGTTACAGTGTCTTTAAAGCTCTTTTCCCTTTAGGATAATAGGGTTAGGAATTTTTTTCAAGGTTTGCTTCCTAAAATCAGATAGATTTCTTCTTGTGCCTCTTCCTGGAGAGTGCCAAAATAACAATGTAGTAAAGAAGTGTAAGATCCTAGAATCTCAGCTGGGTAACACAGCCAGCCAAAATATTCATTGTGGAGGGATTTCTTTTTTGCTTGCTCTTTCCCCCAATTACTTTGTTACCCTCATTTGCTTGAGTCTGTATCCACATCTAGTTCTGCAGGCTTAGATGTTTGTCATGTCCACTATTTATCTTTTTCTGTTCACTTCAGGCTTCCACTCTTTTCTCCTCCTCTGTCTTAAGTCTACTTCTCCAGTAAAACTAAATCAAATATCTAGTATATAAACTAGCATTCAAAGCTTAATGTACTTCTACAGAGTAATTTAATTCTTTGTAGTCCATAGGTTAGCTTCTCTTGTGATCTTTTTCTTTTTTCAGCTCTTCAGAGAATTCCAACTTCTTACAAGAACAGATATTTATAAGAAANATCTAGTATATAAACTAGCATTCAAAGCTTAATGTACTTCTACAGAGTAATTTAATTCTTTGTAGTCCATAGGTTAGCTTCTCTTGTGATCTTTTTCTTTTTTCAGCTCTTCAGAGAATTCCAACTTCTTACAAGAACAGATATTTATAAGAAAACAAGGCACATCTTGGAATCCTATTCAGAAAATATACTGGCTTCTCTTTCTTTGGTGGACAACCCAATCAATATTGCGTTGCAAGAAAAGATGAAACACCATACAGATGAAGACACGTTGAAATGTTAGTGAACCTGGGGGATAGGGTGATCTGGTCTCAGTTACCTGTATAATTCAGGGTAATTAGGAAAGCTGTATTTTGTAGAATTTAGTGAAAAAATATGTGAGGATGAAAAAATAATGTCTCAAGTAGAAGGAGCTTAAGAATAGATTTTAAAAGTACACGTGATATTATAATATTTAGGAAACTAGTAACCTGTTAATTTCATAAGAAGGTAATTTACAGACCACAGGTTAAGTACATTGAAATCATTCTGGCAGATGGACAGAGAGTACAGAAATCTTACCTCCTCTTGGCTGCAACATGGAGGGCAGAACAGGAGATCTTGAATGTTTATTACAAGGGGATGTTGTTTAAAAAAAAAATGCTAGGGGAACTAAGGTCTAAGAAAGCTAATTTGTTCTTTAGAAGGTAAGTAACAGCAACAAAAAAATCCACACATTTTAATACTGGGTTTACTTACAACATTTACTTGGACTGTAAGTATGTTTGCTTTGACAGATATGAAGATGACAGCCACTTGTTTACTCCTACCAGATGCTTTTGGGGAGGATTCCAGTCTTTTTGTCGTTGTGAATGACAAGGTATGCAGTATGTCAATGATCATTGGTTGATATTTAATACGATAAATTGAAGCAGGATGGTGGCCTATTTTAAAGTTATGTTTTGTCATATTCACAAATATGCTAAATTGTAACAAGTCGTTTACTGTAATATCATGGTTAAATTGAGGCACATTGTATTATTTAGCTATTTTCCATACCACGGGGTGGTGACTCTAATCTTTTTTATTCAGGTGCAAGTGTCCACGCCTGTGTTAGAAGTTAAGAATCCTTTCAACATGGATGTCTGTGAATTTTCTTTGTATTTAGAAAAAGAGAGACTCACAAAGGTGGATGACTGTGTTACAGCCTTGGCTGCTCTCATAGCTTCCTTCCACGTGTTTGGGATTGAGTGTCCAAGAAGACTGTCTCAAACCCTCACCTTCCTAGAGACACTGATTTTTGATGTGCACAGTCCATATTCTCCTTCTATGAAAGAAAAGGAAAAGGAAGTAGGATTTCAACATACAGTCACTTAAGAGCATGCCAAATATTTAAGCAGAATGGATCTCTGGGGTGGCTGAAACTATTAACCATTGTTTAGTAGAGGTAGGTATTAATATTAGAAAATCATCTTGTCACTGAGATTCAAATGAATATTAATGCCTTCTACCTTTACACTTTGACACAAATTCTTTATTGAAATTCTGTAATAAAATATGACTTAAAGAGCTGTTTGTTTCGAGTTTTAAGAAATTCCAATCCAAGTTAACACTTTCAAGGGGGCATTAGTTTTTAAAAGACACTATGCTTCACATTTTCTTAAAATCCTTCAAATTAGGATATGACTTGCACTTAAGGCAATATGTCCACTTTTAAAAAACTTAATGCCTAGAAGTGCTGAAGAATTGATGCTTTTGAACTGTGGGGCTGGAGAAGATTCTTGAGAGTCCCTTGGACTGCAAGGAGATCCAACCAGTCCATCCTAAAGGCGATCAGTCCTGGGTGTTCATTGGAAGGACTTAACCCGCTCCAGTATTCTTGCCTGGAGAATCCCCATAGACAGAGGAGCCTGGTGGGCTACGGTCCACAGGGTCGCAAAGAGTGGGACACGACTGAGCGACCTAGCACAGCACACAACCCCCCAGTTCCTCTTTCCGCCTGCTGACCTGCCCTGCAGCTGTTCAGGTTCCTTCCCTCCTATCTGCTGAGAACTGTGGCTGTTCCTGAGGTCACCCCTCTGCTGGACGCTCTCGCTGGCACAGGTTTTCATCATCGGGCACCCATGTTCCTCTTCCTCTGCTTCCCTCCCTTGAGAAAGAGTGATACAGCTGGTTCTTGTCTCCCAAGATTTCTGCTTTTCCCTCGTTTTGACCTCCAGTGTCCTCATATGCCTTGGTTGCCCCATGGGCTAGTGTGGATCTGTAATAAGAACCTGGCTTTTCACTCCCAGGGCCCCAGCACCCAGTTTCCAAGTTAGGGCCTTCCCAGATCAGCTCTCCAGTCTCTCTCAGGAGCCCTAGTTCTGTGCCTCATCCAGCCCAGAGTCCCACATTGTAATTTATCGAACATGATGGTTTTAAGGTCCCCCTTGCTGTTATCACAATCTTGATGTTATTTAGTTTTGAAAGAACTAATTGGTTTAAAAGACTGAAGAATTTAAGTGTGCTAATATGGCATCACAGTGCAATGGACATTTTCTGGGTTATTGCATCCAATTATTTTTAAGAAGGGTTCATTTTATTGAAGAAATTTTTATAACACATCTCTAGAAATACTGCAAAATACTAGTATCTTTATCTCTGACTGTTCATTAAAATGCTTAAGTCAGTGGGAAAAAAGAAAATTTGGGATCAGCTGCCCACCTCTGCAGTGATTTTTCACTGCTTATATGAGAATGGACAGGCAAGAACAATCTGGTACATTTCTGCATAACTAGTCCCTATTCTGCAGTTTCCATTTCTTCCCTTTCACTGCAATGTGCCTTTAGTTCCTTATAAAGTTTCTTTTATTTCTCCCAATTATTCCCTCCCCACTCCAATTTTTTAAGTTTCACAATCTTATTCCTGTTCTCCAGAATGAACTTACCAAGTTCTAAAAGAGTCCTTTCCCTTGGAAGTTCACAATCTCTATGGCTGGCCTTTTTAAATTTTTTCTTCTTTTACTTTGGATTGGAGTATAGTTGATTAATAATGTGTTTCAGGTGTACAGCCAAGTGATTCAGTTACACATACACATGTATCTGTTTTCAAATTATTTTCCCACTTAGGTTATTATAGAATATTGAGCAGAGTTCCCTGCGCTATACAGTAGGACCTTGTTGGTTAACTATTTTAAATATAGCACTGTGTACACATCAGTCCCGAACTCCCAATTTATCTCTCCCCTCCCCTTTCTCCTTTGGTAACCATAAATTTGCTTTCTAAGTCTATGAGTCTTTGTTTTGTAAATATGTTTCATTTGTATTACCTTTTTAAAAAATTAAATTATTTAATTGGAGGCTAATTACAATATTGTAGTGGTTTTTGCCATACATTCACATGAATCAGCCATGGGTGTACATGTGTTCCCCATCCTTAGCCTTGAATGAAAGCCTTTCTTTGCTCCTTTGGGCTGGAGGTGGAGAGAGAGAGGTGGAACTAGCTGCAGGTAAACTGCAGTGAAGTTTGGCTTTGAACATGACAGACATAAGCTGACTATGAGGGCAGAGTCCCATAAAATTCATTCTTTCAGTGGTGTATCTATTTCCAATGTCCAGCATGGCCATGCCACTTGGCAAATATTCAATATTGCTTGGCCAACCTAACCCTATTTTCTCTGGAGGTTGAATCCACTGAACCCAAAAGTTGCAAAATGGCAGCCTGGGATAATATGTTAACCTCCAGGCAGGACTTCTTTGGCTCATAGAGTATTTGTAAGGTTTTTTAAAATGCCTTTTGATGGGAGGGTCCTGTCAAGTTCCATATTTCTCATCTCTCACTTTTGTCTTACCTCAAACCTGTTTCTCTCATTTCAGGGACCTCCCTGTCACCATGGGCTCCCTATTTCCTCTGTTAAAACTCAGTCCATTCTTAGAGCATATCCCAGGAATGGAATGGTGAAAACTTCCACTTCTTTTGGTAGACTGTTCCACCCTAACAGGGGTGCTTAATATCTTGCCTCGAACACAAACAACATGCTTCTCAGAATGAATGGATGTTTTCAGTAAGATTTAAAGGCTCTTTTTTTTTTTTTAAACAACACATGCTTTAAAAAGAAGTCTTCAATGTGTGTGAACCCTACTTTGACCTAAAAATAACATTTTTTAATTTTCTTCTTCCTTTTTGTCACTCTTCACATCATCTGGGACATAGCTTGACCAACAGCTCTGAACCCTACAGCTCCAATACACAGCTATCTAAGGCCGTATGTTTGATATTACTCCTCCTCTCATTCACCCCTTCTATTTTTAAGAATCATACATATGTAAAAAAGGTATCTGCAATTAAGATTTTATTTAATTCATGTCAGGTATAACAAGTGCAACTTGAATGTACAAACTCTGAACAAAACATAAAGAAAATAAAAACTAACAACGAAAACCTTTTTTTAAGCAGACTCATGCAAAGAAAGGAAGGGGCCACGGCAGATGTCATGGGCCCTGTTTTACCTTGAATTACGACAAAAGCAAAGGACCACTACAGACTTCCAACAGGGTGTGGGGCAGGGCAGATATCAAGGGAATCCTACATGAGAAAAAATGAGAGCAACTACAGAGAAAGGTGAAACTTTCCCCAGAATTCAGACAACATGCTACAAACTTACTTTCTACTTTTAAAATAGTCCTTGGATAAATATCCAATCCTGGAAATAGAAGTTACATACATAGGCTGATAAAATAATTTACCTTTTGCGTTGGAAATGCATTCTTGCAAAAGAAACACTACCAGCTCTCAGTTTATAGGGAATCAAGGGTTTTCAATTAAAGTGCATCTGTACGCTTCTATACTGAGGCAAACACTTCTATGGAGAAGAGGGTTTTTCAAAAATGGAGCTTTAGGAAGTCACTTCCCTGATCTGTGAGCATTTAGAATGTTTGCCTCAACTGGGGTTGCTCCCTCAAATTTTGCCTCTTCAGTAAAATCTATACACTCTCTCTTTAGCCAAAACTGAAGAAAACCTTTGGATTTGGAGGACACTGCAAGGTCTAAGACAGAGCTCTTCAGGGATTAGTGTTTACATCGACAGAACGATCCCTTCACCTCTGCAAAGCACCACAATTATTTCAATGACAATTAGAGAAAAGCTCAATATCATCTCATAAACAGTTCAAGATCATACAAACAGTGCCCCCTTCAAATATAACTGTATATTCCTTTGATATCACTGGAGTCCTGTAAACACACAGGGCACCACAATGTATGAGACTGATGCCATTCAAATACATCACCTTATTTATGTTTATATATTTTATTTTTTAATTCCATTATTTATATACACGTTTTTGGTAATTATAGTCAAGATGCTGGTGAAAGTAATTTGTTTAACATTTCATAATTGCGTGCAAAAGTAAAAACACTGATTTAAAGGAAGGTAATTTTTACAACTATTCAGCCTCAATGAATCAGGACAAGCAGTTAGGCAATATCATGACTTGCAAAGTTATACTTAGCATAATGTTGCAATTCAAAATATGGCACAGAATTAGCAATACAGATAACAGTCCCACTGGCTAAACTTAGCCAGGTTTTGACTAATTTGGTTTAAGTTGAAGTTTGATTATATAAAAAAGGTTCCTGAAAGTATTGAAAAAGAAACAGTGTACATGAAAGAGAATTCAACAATGTTTACAAAATGCCAAAAGTTCTTATTCTGCCCCCCACTTTTTCCATAAATAATTAATGAAGTCCCCCTCCCCCCCCCCCCCCCAGCCTCAAAAAGATTTACAAAGATAAATTTAGCTCAGTGAACAGAACCAAAAGATGACTGTTGTTAGACAGTACCTGGTTAAAAGCTCAAGCACTTTTGTAAGAATTCATATATATTGTCTCTTGAGGAATATAAATAATCTGATAGCATTGCTCTTTAGATTTTTGGAGACTTCTCACTTAGAAGTTACAACTGTCTTTGTGCTTTGAGTAAAATATGAGCTTTAAAGCAGAAAGCTGATGGTATTCAAAATTCACCACCTTCAAAGTTCATTGTGAGAGTTCTTCTCTGCGGCTTTGAACATCAAGATAGAATTGAAAATTTTGAGTGCTGGGCCCAACTTAATGCTCATAATTTTCACAATGTCTGTTTGGGTCATAAGCAGAAATGCCTCTCCATCAATTTGCTAAAAGGGAGGAAAAAAGACAAAAGATTATGAGTTGATTGGACACAGAGTCATGGGACATACTCAAGGTTAAATTGTCAGCTGTTTCCTACACGCAACACTAGAGCACCACAGACAGGGATTCAGGTGTGCAAACGTTTCCTGATAAGCAGATCTTTCTTATATGTAATAACACCCCCAAATGGGGACTGCGAGCAAAGTCAAATTTATTCATCTAAAAATCAACTCACAGGTAAGTGGGTTTCTCACAAGCTACTTTTATGTGTAGCCATCTTTTCTACTCAGTGGGAAAGAAGTAAATTAAGAAATGACTTTCTAAAAACAGTAATTACTGCGACATATGGCTGGGTTTATTTTTTGTTTATGCTTTCATAATACACATAAACTGGTCTAACTCCAGAGGTTAAGTATCTTACTAAAGGCCCAAAACTCTGAGGGAGGACTCGGGACTTGGGGCTCTCACCTCCCGTTTCCTCACTCTTTCACTGTGCACTCTCGGTTCTCTTCCAATGTTTTAACTCCACAGATTACAGCAACCTGCTCTCTGAATGTCTTTCTCAGGGCATAAAGGGATGAATATATTCATTCAACAAAAACTTATTAAGTACCCATTATATTTTAAATGGGCTTCCCAGGTGGTGCTAGTGGTAAAGAACCGGCCTGCCAATTCAGCAGCCGCAAGAGACCTGGGTTTGACCCCTGGGCTGGGAAGATTCTGGAGGAGGAAATGGCAAACCACTCCAGTATTCTTGCCTGGAGAATCCCCACGGACAGAGGAGCCTGACAGGCTACAGTCCCTGTGGTCACAAATAGTCGGACACTACCGAGCACATATTCTAAGTATTATTCTTGGGCCTGGGCATATAGCAGAGACTAAAGCAGATAAAAACAAAACTAAACAAACAAAAACTCCTTGTACAGTTTACATTTGAGGAGTAGGAGGCAGACTATAAGAAAGACCATAACAAGCAAATTAGAATTACTAATTCTAGTTCTGTGAAAAATACCGTTGGAAGCTTGATAGGGATTGCATTGAATCTATAGATTGCTTTGGGTAGTATAGCCATTTTGACAATATTGATTCTTCCAATCCATGAACACGGTATATTTCTCCATCTGTTTGTGTCCTCTTTGATTTCTTTCATCAGTNGGGGAAAGAAAGAGTGGGATGAATGGTGAAAGTAGCATCAACATGTACACACTACCATGTGTAAAACAGATGTCTGGTGAGAAGTTGTCATATAACACAGGGAGCCCAGCCTGCTGTCTGTGATGACCTAGAGAGGTGGGATGGGGAGAGGGATGGGAAGCTCAGGAGGAAGGTGATATATGTATAATTATGGCTGATTTTCATTGCTGTATGGCAGAAACCAATACAACATTGTAAAGCAATTTTCTTCCAGTTAGGGATCGGGTGGAGAGGGAGGTGGGAGGGGGGATCGGGATGGGGAATACATGTAAATCCATGGCTGATTCATGTCAGTGTATAACAAAAACCACTACAATATTGTAAAGTAATTAGCCTCCAACTAATAAAAATAAATGGAAAAAAAATAAAACAACAACAAAAAAGAATTACTAATTCTAAAAGGTGATTAGTGCTAGGAGAAAACTCCTGGCTGAAGATGTAAGTGGGCAGTGGGATCAGGGGTGGGAGGTGGCAGTCTGAAGGAAGACAGTTAGGATGGGACGCTGAGAAGTGCAGTGAGCCAGGTGAACACCTAGAGGAAGAGCATGCCAGACAGACAGGAAAGCCAGAGTGTGTCTGGAGAATGCAAGGAACGGCAAGGAGGTCTGTGTGAGGAACAGTGTCAGCAGCGGGCAGAGGACAAAGAGGTCAGATGGTGAGAGAGGCGATGGAGTGTCAGTCAGACTGTAGCCCTGGTGAGGAGGTTGGCTTTTACTCTGATTTAACTACCAGAAGGGTCTGAACTGAGGAGAGACGTGATCTGACAATGCTCTAGCAGAATCAGCCCAGCTATGCTGGAAATAAATTGTAGGAGGGCAGAAGTAGAAGCAAGGTGGATGGCTAGAAGTTACTGCTTTAATCCAACTGGCAGATGACAGTGACTCTGACCATAGAGATCATGGTGGAGAAAGAGCTGGAATCCTCATGCTTTTAAAATATATCCAATAGGGTTTTTCGACTGATTAAATGTGGAGTGTATAAGAGAAACAGAAGTTAAGGATGGTTTCAGATAAGAGCCCACACCTGCACTTATTTGCCTTTCAGAGATGAATTACAAGACTTTAGATTTGCTTTCTGGTTTTCGTCTAGGACTCGAACCCCATGCCTGCTGACCTGGTGAGACATTTGAGAGCAAGGATCATGTCCCACTACTTCTGAATTAACCCTCTCACCAGAGCATCACATGTAGTAACATACACATGGGAGTCATTTAACAAGAGTTCACAGGATGAATGAAGAGTGGAATGAATGTATGAATGACACGTGGACAGGGAACATTCATTGCCTCATTCTTCAAAAGAAGGCTCTGCCTCTGAGGCTATCTGGTTGGTGCCTAAGGAGTGTCTCCAAAGATAATATTAAGAAAGGAGTTATTCAAAGAAATAACATATCATGTGAATTTGAATCTTACTTTAACTAAATAACAGAGCAACCTATACGAACTGTCTAGATATCAACAGAACCGAAAGTAGTGTTTATAAAATATATGTACTAGAAATTTATTTTTAAAACTGTTGCATCATTTTCAAAGGGTCTTTCAAAGAAAGAACAATGGCTCCCCGCAGGAATATAAGTCTGCTTAGGGATGGAAAATCGACTGAGAGTAACACAAAAATACTTAGGACTTGGGCCTTAAGAAGCTCAAAATCTGAGTAACTACAAATTAAAGATCCACTGGAAAGAATATTTCTGAAATAAGAATGTTAAGTCATAAAAAGGCTAATGAAAATCAGATCCTCGTGCATTTTCACAGGCATCCACATAGAGCATAAATGATAGCTAATAGTACATTGACACTGGCAACTGGTGGCCGGGTTCTTGGCAGTCCCGACACTCTTATTACTCTGTTGCGATGTTCTTAACAGAAAATGCCATTTTGAACAGTGGAGGCTAAACACGGGTACAAAGAAGGTAACTTATTACTGCAGACAGCAGATGTGGGACAAAGACTTTTGAGATGACTTAGTCCTCACTGTACCTTCTGGGAGCCAAGATCAACGCAATAATGGACTATTCTGCTTGGAGGAGCTGACAGACAAGTGGTTTATTTTTAAAGGTCTCTAGTGAAAAGAGTCTCCAGCTTCTAGTGTAGTTAGAGGTCAAATTCCTTTTTGTCCTAATGCTCACTAGAGGTGGTATCATTATTAACCATACCTTACATTGACATTTTGGAACGGCAGATGAAAACAACTAATAAAATCTTCCAATGGCAGATGGTAATAAATGCAATGCATGTCAGTTAGGATAAACAACACTGAGAAATGTATAAGATCTAAGGGGCTGTTTTAGCAATAATGCTAATATTAATTATAAGCATCAAATGAAGTTAATCTTGGGGTTAAAATAACACTTGAAAATTAAACAGTGGGAGCTAATTTTACTTTATGAAAAATGAAATGTTGCTTATTTCTTGCTTTGGTTTCTTTCTGTGCTGTATACTATATAAATGCATGCTAGTACATTTTGTGTTTTTTTTAAAATGAGTTTAGTGCTACTGCTGTGGGGCCTCATAAAATGGCACAAACATTTCCTTTATTCCTCATCTTACATGTTTTTATAGAAGTGATTAACGCTGCTTGTTAGACAACGCAGTATCACTTTGTCAATTTCAACATAACCCATCTCTTCCCTCCTCTGCCAATTTAGAATAGTTCACTATGCACTGCGTCTCAGTGCTGTGTCCCCCACTAAGAAACATACTGCAATTCAGCTGAACACTTACTTCATCTTTAAATACCTTTCCATGTTCTTCACATCCAGGTAAGCTCTGTATGAATTCGGACACCTGTTAAAAAATAAGATCAAAATTCCAGTTCTGAAACAAAAGCCAGAATCTCACTGGTACAGGTTCCAAATATCAACCTGTGTTTTCACTGTTTCTCTCAGAATAATTTCTTCTCTTTTAGAAAAAAAGACTAAGCCCCATACGCATTCATGTTGCCCACTCCTTAAGCCGGTACTCCTACGTCAGGTCCCTGGCAGACAAAGAAAGTAAAACCTACCTCATCCGTGCTCCACTTAGAAACTTTACTGGCAGGAATGCCGGCCACCGTGGGGAGAAGTTTGCTCTGCTGTTCCCAGCGCAGGGGCAGGCACGGGATCGGGGACTTAAAGGACAGAAAGACGGCCGACCGGCGCTGCGCCTGCTGCACGCTGCTTTCTTCCCGGGCACCTGGTTGACAGAAACAATGTGAACTCACTCTCTGAAAAGTAGCCCAAAAAAAGGAAAAAAAATCCCCAAATGCTATATGTCACCCCCAAACCACAAGTGGCAGGAGTACTAGGTAAAAGCATTGGTTCAACATTACATTCCCTGAGTAATTACACTCTCTTCGTTTTCACCGAAGGTCATCATAAGAAACAACCTAAAATTCAATTAACACATCTGTCATATCATCATTACTGAAGACATGCGCCATTACATCATTCAGCATTGCCTTTTCAATGCTTCAGGGACGAAATCTGCACCTGAGCTTAAGTGACAAAGAAAGTAACTCTCAACCTAGGAAATTATAGTTTGTTCTCTTTTGCCTCTGGATGTACTGGAAGTAAGAGGAAAGATGTATGCTCAAGTCCATCTTCTGAGATTACCCTGTAGATAGCATACCCGCTCTCTCCTTTTACCTCATCTCTGCTTCGTTCTTCCAATTTCTATTTACTCATTACACTGACTTTTTAAACAGCCACCTTATCTTTTTTGAAAATGGATATGAAATTATTGCAAAAAAAATAAAAGAGCAGAAATGCAAATGCCTTTATCCAAACCTAGTTTTCTCCTATTCTTCTAAAACAGCCTTTTTAATAAATGATTATTTGTCCTTGGGACTTTTGACAGAGTTTGTTAATCATTATCTCCTAAGATCCTTTACAAAAGAAATCTTTCCTGGAAACTACTTAACTCAAAGCCCTTCAGAAGAAAGGCACCTCCCTCACACTTAATTCTCCCCTCTACCCACCAGCTCAGCTAGGAACAGAAGCGGGCAGCGCAGCGAGAATCCCCTGTAATCATACCCCATGCCACAAAGAAACCACTTCCCCAACTTCTGACACCACTGTTTTTTGCCCTGGTTCTGAACTGCAGTTTGATGAAAATTCCATTCGGTATCTGGCTTTTTTCTCTCAACAGTTTGTGCAATTCATCGACATTGCTGTGTGTAGTTGTAGCTGACCTGCTCTTTGCCATGTGGCTTTTCATTGTTATGACTATTTCACAATTAACGTGGAGCTGATGAACATTTGAGTTGTCTCTAAGTTTTGGCTATGACCAACAGTGCTGCTGTGAGCACTCTTGTATGCACCTTTTTTTGAATATATGTATACCTTTCTGTTGCATATATACTGGAGAGTGGGGCTTTGTGGATATAGCATTCGTGTACTTTAAGCCTCAGCAAATTCTGCCAGTTTTCCAAAACAGCTGTACAGTACATACCTACTAACAGTGTAAAAGTGTTCCACATGCTCCATACTCTCATCGACACGTGTATTCATTTTAGTGAGTGTCTTGTGATACACTGTGGTTATAACTATAATTGTCTGATAACAAAGTTGACAATCTTTTCTTTAGTTAGTATAAAAGGAGTTTATATATTAAATTTTTTTTTACCTGTACATGTATCCATTCTCCCCCCAACTTCCCTCCCATCCAAGGTACCACATGACACCGAGCAGAGTTCCTGAGTTATACTGGTTATAACCAGCAGGTTCACTGGTTATTCATTTTAAATATGGCAGTGTGAACATGTTGATCTCAGACTCCCTAACTATCCTTTCCCTTCCTCCTTCTCCGCTGATTAACATAAGGCTGTTCTCTAAGTCTGTGAGTCTGTTTTTATTTTTTAAGTAAGTTCATTTGTATCATTTCTTTTCAGATCACGCATATAAGGGATGTCATATAGTATTTTTCTTTCCCTGTCTTATTTCCTTCACACAGTATCTCTGGGCCCATCTATGTTGCTGCAAATGGCATTACTGTGTATGATAAAGATCAACATTCATGGCTTTCTTCTACCTGGATTTCTACTTGCCCAACTATGACGTAATGAAAAGAAATCCCTTCTCTGTTGCATTGTACTACAGTTTCAATTTAAAAATAAATATAAATGTGCTACTAAAGATTTCTGATTCTGTTCCACTGGTCTCTTTATACTAATCCACAGATTTTAATAACCCCCACTTTATAAGGGTACTGATGTCTGTGATCTAGATCTTCAAGATTGCCTTGACTATCCTTACCCCTCTGCATTGCCAATTTTAGGATGGGCTTGTTTAAAAAAAAAGCTAGGATTTAGACTAGAATTATCACAATATACATTAATTTGGTGAGAGACAACATCTTCACAATATCAAGTCTTCCAACCCAAAAACACTTCATTTCTCCGGATCTTCTTTAATATCCTTCTTCAGTGTTCTATCATTGTCATGTAGGGGTCTTGCATCTCTTATGTCAAATTTATTCTCATGTATCTGAGGCTTTCTGTTGCTATTATAAGTGGTACAATTTAAATTTTTATTTGTCTACTTTTTTTGGTCTGTGCGGGGTCTTCTTTGCTGCACGGGCTTGTTCTAGCTGCAGTATACAGGGCTGGTCTCCAACTGCAGTGCGCTCATGGGATTCTCCAGGCAAGAACACTGGACTGGGCTGCCATTCCCTTCTCCACGGGATCTTCCCAACCCAGGCATCGAACCAGGGTCTCCTGCATTGCAGGCAGATTCTTCAACACCTGAGCCACTGAACCTGCCTAGAAGTTTTATTTTTATTTATTATTTTTGGCTGCACTGGGTTTTCTTTGCTGCAGGGGCTTTTTCTAGTTGCGGGGAGCAGGGCAACGCTGTAGGTGCAGCGTGCAGGCTTCATTGCCGTGGCTTCTCTTGTTTCAGATCATGGGCTCTATAGCACGTGAGCTTCAGAAGGCTCAGTAGTTGTGGCACACAGGCTGAGCTGCTCCACAGCACGGGGGATCTTCCTGGATCAGGGATCTAACCCATGTCTCCTGAATTGGCAGTGGATTCTTTACCACTGACCCACCAGAGAAGCCTAGTGGTACAGTTTTTTAAAAAACCTATTTCCTACTGTTCTACTGTTGATATTGAATAACTTTTCTCTTAAACTAGCCTAATCTAAATTTGAATTGCTCTGAATGTTAGAAAAGTCACTATGCTGAATTAAAAAAAAAAAAATCTGTCTTACTGGAGCTAACATCCACTAGCCCTGGTTCTACCCAAGTGAGCTCATATAGAAAACTGTTTCCCCATGAAACATTTCAATTCTTCAAATATTTTATAAAAAACCCTTCACGGTCCCCCTTTCCACATTTCATCCAGCAAATCTCACATAACTGTTTTTAAGGTTTCCGCTTCTCATCCTGTTCTACTGAAAATCTATTATGAGCCAAACCCTTTGAAATGCACAGAAGCATGACTCCAGGTTTCTATTCTAACATGTGATACACACTCAGATCAGCGCGCAGACTCTGGCTCAAGTAGCTGCTTAGTGAGAACAGTAGGGAAGAGCAGGTCTGAATGTGCACAACGTGCTTCAGAGAACAAAGTCTTTAATTCTGGAAAACATTTCTGCCACTATCATTTTACAAGGGTCAGATTTCTTAGCGCCTTCCTCTCAAAATATTTACTTGCATGAAAAAATAGTACTTTTTAAGGAGTTTTCTGTATTTCTTGACATTTCCCTAGATGAAAATTGACTAAAGGTATATGGTCAAACTTTTTCTGCCCACTCTCTCACCCAAACCCTTCTTCCTCCTGGGGAAGAACACTAACTGAGTAACCAGTCCTCCAGAACACTTCTGACCAAGACAAGACTTTGGGAACAGACACTCCGCAAAGCAGAGCAATAAGATAGGTAGAGCCTGATTTCTTGATCCTGCTGAGCACTGTTAAATCCTGGAGCACCTACCTTTGAACTTCCTCCATGTGAGAGAGAAATAAACTGCTGTGTACGCCATTTGTATGTATTTTATGTCACACACACACATACTCACACACACACCCCTAATCCTAATCACTGCTAAGGTTTACTGCAATAGCATTTATAATAGTGAGACAGGGAATAACTAGCTTAGATATCCATCAGAGATTGGTTCATTAAATACTGCTGCATCAATCCACAGAGGAAATATTTGATTTATTTTATAATTAGTATAAATATTTCTGTGAAAATGGTTGTAATATTACGTAGTTAAAATGCTACAGGCTACAAAATAGCTAGTACAATATTTCAGGTATTAAAAAATCCAAAATGCTGCCCAAAATTTAGGAAATGGTGTGTTAGAAGATAAAATCATAGGTAATTTTGATTTTCTGCTATTTGATTCCCTGTGTTTTCTAATTATTCTATAATAAATGATATCTTGACAATAATCATATAAAACCAAAGACTGATATTCAATAAGCTATTTATTATTACTCAGAAATCATACCAAAAAACCCCAAAATCTTACTTTCATGACTTGAAAAGCAATTTAATGCATTTTTGGAAATACAGTATTAAATTATCAATTGCTGGGCTTCCTTAATATTAGAAGCAAGAAAATATTAGATGGGAATAATGTCAGAGAAATAACTTTGTGGATCTTTGTATGGTTTTACCGCTACTTCATCTCTCTAGACAATCAAATGAGGACTATTTTCTTTTGTTGATACTTCATGAATGGATAGTAAAGGCCTGCCTCTATCATTTACAACTACTTACATGGAAATCATTCACAGAGCAATAATTTACTCAGCACTTACAATGCAATTTGGAAGGCTACATTAATATAGCATATCCTTGTAGACTTCCTTGAAATGAAATTTAATAGATAAACAGTGTGGTTATCCAAAGTAGAAATTTGCAAATACAAATGTCTGTAAATTCTGGCTGCAAATATAGATATTAAAATTCTTGATTTGACTTTAGGGTAGGAAAAAGTGAAGTAGATGATTAACTCTTGTGAGAAGACAGATCTGATAAAGGTGATCCTGAAAGAAATATATCCTCCAATGTTTCACGTAGAATCAAGACAACAAATCTTCAGAATAGAGACCACCATCTAAACTAAACATGAAATCTCCTAGTAGAAAGAGATGTCCTCACTATCACGGAACATGAGAGCCTGCCTTTACAGGACTGTTTTCGTCAGGGGCCCGGAGAACCCTAGCAGAACCACAGGCAGCCCA